CTCAAAGGATGGAAGGGACACTCCAGGCACCCAGACCACTTCTGCCCATTGGAGTGGTCTGGGTGCTAACTCCCACTACCCTTAACCCTGCAACTGTAAATATTGCAGTTTTCATAAACTGCAATATTTACCTTGCAGGATTAACTCCTCCTCTAGTGGCTGTCTGCTAGACAGCCACTAGAGGGCACTTCTGTGTTTATAGCACATGAAAAGTATGCAATAGCGTCGCTGGACATCCTCATGCTATTTGAGGACCTCCAGCATCGCTGAAATCCCCATAGGAAAGCATTGAAAGCATTTCTCCCCCACCGGTGGCCGCGCATGCTCAATAGGTCTCCCCCGCCGGATGACGTTGGCGGGGGAGGAGTGAGGGACATCGGCGCTGGATACAGGTAAGTCACTGAAGGGGTTTTAACCCCTTCAGCAACTTGGGATGGGGAGTGGGAGGGACAGGGGACCTGCAGTGCCAGGAAAACTGTTTGTTTTCGTGGCACTGGAGAGTCCCTTTAAGTAAGAACCTTAAAAGGTTCTTACTTGCAGCGGCCGGCGTCTCTAATGATTACAGACCCGGCAGCTGTGTGAGGGGAGAAGTGCCTGTTAGAGGACAGCAGGCATCGCATGAGGAGGTAAGTGATAGACGGCATTCCCATTACCACGTGGGAATGCCGCCACAATGGGATTCGCCTGCCGTATCCCAGTCCACTCCTGGGCAGGAGCGGCCCAGCGGGTACCTGGAGACAGGGTGAGTATTCGGCGGCATTCCCCTTGTGATGAGTATTCGGCGAGACATACCCACACTGACACACACTTATACAAACATATACCTACACAGACACATACACACAGCTACAAACATATACCTACAGAGACACATTCACTGGCAAACACACAGATACACACACATACTGGCACACACACAGATGCAAACATATACCTACACAGGCACATACACACGCTGGCACACATAAAAACATATATCAATACACACAAACAGATACACACATATACACACACACATACATATACATATACATTCACACACTGGCACACACAGATACTCACACATACCCACACACAGATACACACAAACACTCACACAGATACAAACATATACCTACAAAGGCACATATACAAACAGACACACACACACACACATACCTACATAAACACACTAGCTCACAAACAGTTACACACAAACTGTCACACACACACATATTTACACATACACACACACACACATACAAACATAAGCATACCTATTTACACATAGTGAGGCATGCCTGGGTGTTAACTGCCTGGATTTCTCCCGGCATAGCTGAACCTGCTGGGACCCGATCAGACTCTTAAAGGGCTGCAGCTCACGACCAGGCTCCTGCACCAGCGCTTATTCTGCCACTGGGCATTTTCTCGTTTTCCTAAAAAAGTGACCATTTGCAAATCCCATATGTTCCATATGGCATTTTTTTGCTGCTGGGACAGCACAGACAGTGTTAGTTTACCAATGGTTAGGTCTTAGAAAATGACTTTTTTAAATTACTTTTTTTTATTGAGGCAAGGAGAATGACATGGTACGGGCAATACTTGAATTAAACTTCATAGTGTGATTGGTTGTTTTTACAAGTTCTTACAGTTATTGGTTGACTTGCGCTCCCTGAAAAAAAAAAATGGCGTATATAATAACCCTGGATTAGTCTCAATAAAGTGGTACAGTACTGTTTCCCTACATTATCAAGTGTCTGGCTGATATTTGTGTAGGAACTTCTGCTAAAGCTCTCTCTCTGTGGAAGATCCTTGGCTCTATTAGTTGGGTAGTGCTGGAAAGAAAAACTCCCTTAGGAGAAGGGACGAACGTTGATCACAATAGGTCTGGGTCCGAAGCAAATTATATTGAGTTTAGCAGAATTATTTTCTCTCTAAATTATATCATTAAATCATGGACTGGACCATAGCTCTGTGCAAAGAATCAGAATATTGTTAGTAGAGACATTGCCTGTAGAAATTATTCTTCACCCAAAGATGCCAGTGAATACTCCTTACAAGATTAAGATGTATTATACTAGGGATATATTTAAAAAAATAAAAAATAAAAATCTAGACTGTTTTTTTTATCTCTTTATGCCTAGAGTCTTTAGTTCAGTGTCTCATTTCTTTTCTTTAAACCATTAGCTTACAGATATCACAAGCACATTACTTTGCATGCCTCCGTCCAATATTTCTACAGCAAAATGTATATGATACCACCCTAAGCATTTTCTTAATTAAAAACATATTTGCTGAGTTGCATATTCTGTCAGTGAGTCACAAAGAATGAGATCTGAATGTAAATATACATCGGTATTTTTCAATATACATAAATCCAAATGTAGATTCTGAATTGATACAAAATTCTTGAGAATTACTGTGTTTGGGATAATTGCCCATATATAATTTACTGGACTTTCACCTCTATTGACCTTATATTCTTTTCTTCCGTAGCTAGGCTTCGTTATTTATGTATGTATGTATATACATACTAATACATTTTCCTAAAATGTGGCATAATGGAGTGAAAGTCCAGAAAGTATATAATGTGGTTGACAATGTGCATAGTGTGTGCAATACAGTCCATAATGTGTGTATTTGCACCTTTTTTAATATTATGGAATACTGAATTATGTTGAGGTGTGCAAAGTACATGAATATGGACACTTACCTAATACAATATTTTCTATCATTTCTATATGATAGTTTATAAACTGAAAAAGCAAAGAATCCAATAGTTTTGCCCACTCAGTATACCAGTTGGCAGCAGACACACAGTTTAGAAACATCTTAATAATTATATAAATAAATCATCTGTTTAAGGTTCTTCAAACCCCACTTAAACAAAGACAGGGAATAGACTGGCTCAACCAACTTTCCTTATCCTGTGTGCTGCAGACTAAAGGTTAAAATAGTATGCGGCAGTATCCATGAGTCACAGATTAGTAAAAGAATGCCACTGATGTCCCTGTCTTCTCCTCCCTCAACCAACGTGCAATGGTATGTGCCACCTTCAGACTTAGCAGTGCATCATAGAGGTATCCAACTCTTTCCACTGGCAAATGTCATGGTCATGTCCACTTCTCCAGGCATCAGTAGTCCCCATAATCCAGTAAAGTGCTATTACCTCCCTCTCCTACCACCCCCATACATCCTAACATTTAAGGCCATTTTTTTCTTTTCAGTAAGATAATACTACATTTATATCTTTATTTATACCTGTGTATTTTTTTTTTTTTATATACCTGTGTTTTATATTGATAGACCATATCTTGGGCATGTTGTTTTACTGTATGTAGTTCACCAACAACTCTTTTTGGATTTCCAGTCCTATAGGACACAACTACTTATGTTCTATACCTATATGCAACTGAATTTGCATGCACTTATAATTTTTTTTATCTTTGCCTAGATTGTAAGGGATACCACAAATATATATCCACATACAACATTCTCATACACCTTTTTATACTTTAGTCTTTTTGTGGCATTATTTTTAACATACCATTTTTGAATATATAAGATTTATTTGTGGTATGAACCAAGGCTTCCAGTATGTTCAAGGCATCAGATGTTATGGACAGCCACATGTAACCTCCACAGACGTGGAAGCTTATGTTATTTTGTGGAGGTTGTTCGTATGCCATTAAAGTTTGTTATGTGTTCCAAGGTGGAGGCACATGCGCGCGGGGCACTTCCGGAACGTCCAAGGTGTATGACGTTCAAGTGTGCGCCAATGCATGGGGTGGGATAGAGGATGATGCCTTTGCGCGCATGCGTATAGACCTAATTGGGCGGGAAGATTTAAAGATTTAAAAGGAACATGGAAGGACCTACAATTCATCTCCAGCTCCTGAGGAAGTCCCGAACACTGCGGGACGAAACGCGTTGAGCCGAGCCAGCAGACGACAGCCCAGAGACCTGATTACCACCACGGTGTTATTCTACCATAGGTATCCCCTAACCCCTAGGAGTCGCGACCAAAGGGCTTTGAGTATACCTACTTTCACCATTTGTAATGGTTGGTGCCGGATATACAGGGAGTGCAGAATTATTAGGCAAGTTGTATTTTTGAGGATTAATTTTATTATTGAACAACAACCATGTTCTCAATGAACCCAAAAAACTCATTAATATCAAAGCTGAATATTTTTGGAAGTAGTTTTTAGTTTGTTTTTAGTTATAGCTATGTTAGGGGGATATCTGTGTGTGCAGGTGACTATTACTGTGCATAATTATTAGGCAACTTAACAAAAAACAAATATATACCCATTTCAATTATTTATTATTACCAGTGAAACCAATATAACATCTCAACATTCACAAATATACATTTCTGACATTCAAAAACAAAACAAAAACAAATCAGTGACCAATATAGCCACCTTTCTTTGCAAGGACACTCAAAAGCCTGCCATCCATGGATTCTGTCAGTGTTTTGATCTGTTCACCATCAACATTGCGTGCAGCAGCAACCACAGCCTCCCAGACACTGTTCAGAGAGGTGTACTGTTTTCCCTCCTTGTAAATCTCACATTTGATGATGGACCACAGGTTCTCAATGGGGTTCAGATCAGGTGAACAAGGAGGCCATGTCATTAGATTTTCTTCTTTTATACCCTTTCTTGCCAGCCACGCTGTGGAGTACTTGGACGCGTGTGATGGAGCATTGTCCTGCATGAAAATCATGTTTTTCTTGAAGGATGCAGACTTCTTCCTGTACCACTGCTTGAAGAAGGTGTCTTCCAGGAACTGGCAGTAGGACTGGGAGTTGAGCTTGACTCCATCCTCAACCCGAAAAGGCCCCACAAGCTCATCTTTGATGATACCAGCCCAAACCAGTACTCCACCTCCACCTTGCTGGCGTCTGAGTCGGACTGGAGCTCTCTGCCCTTTACCAATCCAGCCACGGGCCCATCCATCTGGCCCATCAAGACTCACTCTCATTTCATCAGTCCATAAAACCTTAGAAAAATCAGTCTTGAGATATTTCTTGGCCCAGTCTTGACGTTTCAGCTTGTGTGTCTTGTTCAGTGGTGGTCGTCTTTCAGCCTTTCTTACCTTGGCCATGTCTCTGAGTATTGCACACCTTGTGCTTTTGGGCACTCCAGTGATGTTGCAGCTCTGAAATATGGCCAAACTGGTGGCAAGTGGCATCGTGGCAGCTGCACGCTTGACTTTTCTCAGTTCATGGGCAGTTATTTTGCGCCTTGGTTTTTCCACACGCTTATTGCGACCCTGTTGACTATTTTGAATGAAACGCTTGATTGTTCGATGATCACGCTTCAGAAGCTTTGCAATTTTAAGAGTGCTGCATCCCTCTGCAAGATATCTCACTATTTTTGACTTTTCTGAGCCTGTCAAGTCCTTCTTTTGACCCATTTTGCCAAAGGAAAGGAAGTTGCCTAATAATTATGCACACCTGGTATAGGGTGTTGATGTCATTAGACCACACCCCTTCTCATTACAGAGATGCACATCACCTAATATGCTTAATTGGTAGTAGGCTTTCGAGCCTATACAGCTTGGAGTAAGACAACATGCATAAAGAGGATGATGTGGTCAAAATACTCATTTGCCTAATAATTCTGCACTCCCTGTATATCCCGGTCTCACAATAATGTTGTTTTTATGTATATATCTTAAAATGTATATTTTTATGCAGCAATAAATTTTGTTACTTTTATAGTCCCATTTGACTATTTTGTAGTCACTCCATCTTGATTTCCTAGTGCCCTCAGTTGGTGTATTATTTGGGCTTGCCCTTATTGTCCACCTTTTTTTTGTATGTAGTGGAAACGATTCTTGGAGTAACTTTTTATCTCCAAATATGGTTCATTAATATGGCACTGCCACAAGTTTAGTAACTGGAGGTGCTATTTCTCTTTCACTACTACATGACACACATGACTAACAATAAAATTATGCTAAAATTACACCAGGGTTGTTTCAGGACCCTATCCAGGACTCCAGCCCTTGTCAGCTCTACTGTAGCAACATCCTTGTGGAGAGGAGAAGAAATGGATAATGTGCCAAAGCTGGTGACCTGATTTCTTCTAAATATTTTTTTTCATTCTTAGTGTTTACAGTAAACTTGCTCCTTTACAGCTAAAATGTACCACTTCCTGCATGTTTCCTCCTGGCATCAGGTTATCTAAGCATGGGAAGTGGAACATTAAACTAGGAAGTAAAATCATGTTAGTAAATAGCATTGAGCTACTTTCTGACTTCCATACATACTGAATGTAACATGATACATGGGTTTTTAAAAGCACGGGCTCTTAATTTGTTAGCTTACAAAATAGCAAATTACTGGTCCATCTGTAAACAAGAGTCAAGTAATAACAGATTTACATAATTAAGAAAATAAAAGTAAACATTGCTGACATTCCCAGATTGTGTAAACATTCTAGATTAGTTTATGTTCTTATGATTTTGCACCACATTTTATTCTTCTGTTTATTTTTTCAATATTAATTCCTAAAATGATTTCAAACAGAGCCATTTGATTTATCCTGGTCTAAATGTAATGATTCAGAGAGTACTTCACAAAAATGAAATCAATATGCCATGTAAGAGATTACCTGGCCAGCAAGTAAACCGTACCACAAAAAACATAGGAGGGTGTTGTGTGGAAGGTAAACATTATTGTAAATGTTATGAATGTAACAAAGGGATACACTAACTGCATTATTGACACTAAAAATAAAATATTAACATACAAATAGTTAAAAGTTAGTTGCAACAAAACAAAAAGATTTTAAGAATATCAATCATTTTAGTCCAATCCTTAACTCTGCATATTTAGTTAATAATTATGTAGGGGTTTAGAAAAATACCACTCTCTGTCTCATTGTAGTTTTCTTCGCCTGACCTGAAGAAAGTAAAGTGAATTATTTGTGTAGGGCCCACCTAAGAGGTTTGGGGCTGATGTGTACTATGGCCAAGGCTACCACCCAGGAATAGTGGGAGTTTGAGCGCAGGACTTATTTCTGTGTATTTCTACATATTCAATGTTCATGCATTTAAATGCTGAAACTGGAGTAACCACCAGCGATTGGGGTCATCTGGGCACCTACCAAGCTTCCATTTCAGTGCCATGAGTGTGACATTAACCCCTTAACGACCGCAGACGCACTAGGTACGTCCGACAAAAAACGGTTGTTAAAGGAGCACTATAGGGTCAGGAACACAAACATGTATTCCTGACTCTATAGGGTTAAAACCACCATCTAGCACCCCTTGCCCCCTCTTACCTCCCTAAATATAGTAAAATCTTACTTGTATTCAAGTCTGGAGCTGCATGCTTTGTCCCTGTTTCCTTTAGACCTGCCCACTGCCTGCTGACATCAGCAGAAGTGGTAGCCTGATCCAATCACAATGCCTCCCATAGGATTGTCTGAGACTGACAAAGAGGCAGATCAGGGGCAGAGCCAGCACAATTCAAACACAGCCCTGGCCAATCAGCATCTCCTCATAGAGAAGAATTGAATCAATTAATCTCTATGAGGAAAGTTTAGTGTCTGCATGCAGAGGGAGGAGACACTAAATGTTTGGATGCATTTTGGGCAGCTATGACCCAGGAAGGATCTCTAACAGCCATCTGAGGAGTGGCCAGTGAAGTTATCACTAGGGTAAACACTGCATTTTCTCTGGAGGCAAATATCACTTACCTGATCGCTGGCTATCCCCTGCCGGCGATCGCGATGTGGGGCATCCTAGGCAGTTCGCCTGCGGCATATCCGCCACGCCCCAGGCCATGTGATCTAAGTACTTTTATATACACATACACAATCCATTATTCTAAGTGTATTTGAATATTAATATATATATAATTATATATATATATATATATATATATATATATTACCATCAAAATAAATTTAGAGTGATGTTATAAATACATATATATTTATCTATACGTATCTATATATATAGCTATATATAAATAAAAATAATAAAAATATATATATATATATATATTTAATTCTACAAATATATTTATATAATATTTTTACATAATTAAGTCGTTTTATTAATTACAATTTGAGGGAAGTCCAGAGAATTTGGTTCGCAAGACCTATATTTAACCTTGTAACTTTCCAGGACACCATAAAACCTGTACATGGGGGTACTGTTTTACTCAAAAGACTTCGCTGAACACAAATATTAGTGTTTCAAAACAGTGAAACGTATTACGGTGATGGTATCGTCAGTGCAAGTGCCAGTTTTTGCATTTTTTCACACACAAACGACACTTTCACTGACGATATCATTGTTGTGATATGTTTTACTGTAGTGAAACACTAGTATTTCTGTTCAGCGAAGTCTCCCAAGTATAACAGTACCCCAAGTACAGATTTTATGCTGTTTTCAAAAGTTACAGAGTCAAATATAAGGCTTGCATTTCAGTTTTTTCACATTGAAATTGGCCAGATTGGTTTTGTTGCCTTTGAGACCGTATGGTAGCCCAGGAATGAGAATAACCCCCATGATGCCATACCATTTGCAAAAGTAGGCAACCCAAGGTATTGCAAATGGGGTATGTCCAGTCTTTTTTAGTAGCCACTTAGTCACAAACTCTGGTCAAAATTAGCGTTAAAATTAGTTTTTTGCATTTTTCACACACAAATATGAATGCTAACTTTGGCCAGTGTTTGTGACTAAGTGACTACTAACAAAGACTGGACATACCCCATTTATAATACCTTGGGTTGTCTACTTTTGCAAATAGTATGCTATCGTGGGGGTAATTCTCATTCCTGGGCTACCATTTGGTCTCAAAGGCGACGTAACCAATCTGGAAAATTTCAATGTGTATAAACTGCAAAAATGTAACGTGCTATATTTTACACTGTAACTTTCCAAAACACCATAAAACCTGTACATGTGGGGTACTGTTTTACTTATGAGATATCGCTAAATACAAATATGTATACTTTATTGCAGTAACATCTAACAATATTATGACATTCACAGTTAATATGCAATGCAGAACTAAAAAATGTACATTTTTTAATTTCCCAAACATTTTTAGATTTTTTTCATATTAAATTAGATTTCATATATAAATATTTGCTAAGAAATGAAAGCCCTGTGTCTCCTGAACAAAATGATATATAATAGGTATAGGTGCATTTAATATGAAAGAGGTGAATTACAGCTAAACGCAAACACTGCTAAAATGTAAAAACAGCCCTGGTCCTTAACGGTAAGAAAATTGAAAACCGGTCTGATCATTAAGGGGTTAATTACATCACAAGTAAGTTTTCTAATAAGGTGGGTTACATTATTTGCATCACGAGCATGTATTCATAGTGATGTAAATGATGCCATGCACTTAACACATATTCCAGCTATGACCACATAAAGTTAATGATGTCATGCACATGGCATATATAATGGAACACTAAAAGTAAGTTACATCATATGCCCATACTCTGGCCAAGTGGCTAGCAATCCACCTGGCATTTGTTCAGCTTTCCCAAGTACCAGATCAGTATCGCATTTTTCTAATTCGCTATGCAGAAGAATTGTGTTTTAATTTGACTTTCTTCTTTTGATTTCTTATAATGTATTGTAGTTCCCAGAAATTAAGATATTCTTTCAGTGGTTTTAGTCCTTTCTTCTAGATACATTTAAATGAATAGAACCAAGGACAGAACCTATCAGCACTTGATCTAGTGTAAAACATATTAACAGCAGTCTGTGCTCTCTTTCAAGCATAGTACACAAGTATCATGGCACAGACACGAAAGCTATCACATTCAGGAGTCTTTGCACTGATTCATGCTGGTAAATTAACCTTCAATTCTGTGTTATTTCTTGTTTTCTTGTTACGCTTCACTGTGTTTGACCTAAATGTTGCTAATTCAGAGTTCTCCACAACTTCCTATTTAGTGGATAAATCTATTTGAGTCCTATTGATTGTTCCATATTTAGCCCTTTACACCAGCATTTAATCGTTCTTGTTTTGATCTGTAGGCTTATAGCACAAGATTGACATCAATTTTACTAGAGATGGATCACGGCTAAGAGTTAAAGGGACACTATAGGCACCAGAACCACTTTATGTAGTGGTTCTGGTGTCTATAGCCTGTCCCTGCATGCTGAGCTCTGTAAACAATGATTTTTGAGAGAAAAGGCAGTGTTTAGATTGCTGGCTAGTAACACCTCTAGGTGCAGTCACTCAGACGGCCAATAGAGGCGCTTCTTATCTCAGTTCTGCACAGTGTGCAGCACCTACACTCAGCGTTGCCACACTCTGCATTGAGGTGCTGAATGTTCCCTATGGAGATGCACTGCTTCAATGCATCACTATGAGGAGATGCTGAAAGGCGCAGCACTGCATTTTGCTGCGCATGCACAATAGCCTC